TTGTACCATTATAAATGTCTTTACTTTCACTTTTGATCATTTTTATGCATCCTTGCTGAATAAAAGTTTTACTTTTTTTTCCTTAAAAAACAATCCTCCCGACCCTGAATTAATACTAGTTATGCTAGTCAGTGCATGTCTCATTCCAGTCACAGACAACAATGTTCTTGCAACACGAATGAGGGGGAAGGACACTCATGCACACATACAGTGAGATACGTTTTCCCCTCACCTGCCTTGTGTAGCCTGAAGCTGCTCAGTTAGTTTAGCCAAGTGAGGGCTAAGCACACACGTGAATCGAGACAGAAGACAGAGAAGAGAGATTCCAAACCATTCACATTAAAAGAAAGGAAGCAAAGCACCTTGAGATTTATTACAATCCAATCCAAGCATGCAAAGTTAAAGGAGCATCACTATCACCTGTAGGGAAAGAGAGCAGAGTAAACTGAATATTTGAGAGTACCTTTCTGCAGGAACGGTGAGAGCGCATGTCTGCTGGACTGACTCTTCTGTAACATTCTGATAAAGAGAGGATGAATCAATAGTAGTTCATTAGTTCCTAAACTAAACCAAAGTATGCCAAAATTCTGAACAGTGACCAGTAACAGTGTCCTGTGGTGTGACATTTATATTACTATTCAAAAGTTTGGGTCAGTAAGATGATATTTTTTGTACAGCAAGGATGCATTAAATTGATCAAAAGTGACAGAGAAGACATTTTAAAGGCTACAATTTAAAAAAGATTTCCATTTCAAATAAATGCAGTTCAAAATAACTTTCTATTCATCAGTTAATAGAATTGTATCATGTATCAAATGTATCATGGTTTTATTATGCAGCGGCACAACTGTTTTCAACATTGATAATAATAAGAAATGTTTCTTGAACACCAAATCAGCATATTAGATACTGGAGTAATGGCTGCTGTAAATTCAGCTTTGCCATCACAGGAATAAATTGCATTTTAAAATATATAACTTTAAATTTTAATAATATTTCACGATATATTTATATCTGGACTGTGACGCTATTTTCTTCTGGAAAAAAACTTTTTTGCATTATTTTCCTGTTATCTCTGTAAAGCTGCTTTGAAACAATCTGTATTGTAAATAGCGCTATATAAATAAATGTGACTTGACGATATTGTTATTTTTACTTTAATCAAATAAATGCAGTCTTGGTGAGCATAAGAGACTTTTAAAAATGTTGACCCCAAACTTAACAGTAGCTTCATCTAGTATTGTTTTAAATAACATTTTTGTATAAATATTATACATGCAGTTTTTAATAAGACACTGCAGAACTAACTCCAAATACGCTCCAATGAGCGGTTACACAATGTAAATGACAGAAAAGGGGTTGGACATGTTACTTGTCAACTGACCATATGACACATCTAATTGTAGCAATAAACATGTGGAAATAAAATGCTCTACCTGAGTGAGTTTGGAGTGTAACTGCTCCACCGTGGCAAGGAGATTTACTCGCTCTTTCTCACTCTCTGCTTTTTCCTTCTCCAGCTCCTCATTCCTCTTCCTCAGCACCTTCATCCCTTCCTCCAGCTTCTCTTTGTGGCTTTTCAGCAGTTTCAGAAATTCATTAGAGCCCTCAGCAGGCTTAAGAGTAAAGAGATTTGTAAAGATTAAAGTAAAAATAGGCTATATTAAAAAAACTACATTATTTTTAGCCATGTTTGGACTGTACTTTAACACAGTAAAGAAAAGGAGGACAAACACACCACACCAAAAAGAAGTCAAAGCAGATTGCAGATGTTGCACACACACACAAAAAAAAAACCAATGTTACATTTCACATCTTGAGAATAAGATTTCTGGTAAATTACCAAACTTTGAGGCATTGTGTGTCTGTCAGTGTCTCCTTCAGCTCGGTCTATCAGTACAGCTTCATTTAATACCTGCGCGATGAAACAAAAACGGGATGTTCATTTTATTTCAATGAACTGAGAACTTTCTGCAAGTTCCTTATGACAGAGGATTAACAAAAGAACCTACTTCTGGTGAGTCCATGAGGGCATTCTTGTTTGCATTGGTGCACTTCAGCTCTTGGTCCTGAGTTCCAGTCTCTTTAGAGATGCCGACACATGGACCGATGCTGTGGTTGAGCTGTCCTAACAGGCTCTGGTTTTCCTGCGCCAGCCGCTGCACTAAAGATCTGGCCTCACGAAATCTACAGCTCAGGAACTCTCGCTCCTCCCGCGACCTCCTCTGCCACCCCTCCATCTCTTCACATCTCTCTTTGAGGGCATCATTGCTTCGCTTCAGAGCCTCTGTGGAACGATTACAGTTGTTTATGCATTGTATTCAATAGGCAATGAGTCTGGCATAGATCTCATCGTCTCACCTCGTAGCTGATGATTATCTGTTATGAGCCTATGGACCACTTCATTTCCCGCTAATTCAGGAGGGACCCTCAGAGACCCCTGTGAACTGGCCATCAGTGACCCTTGACCTCCAGCACCCACAGTCTCCTCTCCAGTCAGCTCCCACTGCAGAGTGCAACCACCTGACGGCTGCGGCTGGACCATGATCCTGAGAGAGAGAGAGAGAGAGAGAGAGAGAGAGAGAGAGAGAGAGAGAGAGAGAGAGAGAGAGAGAGAGAGAGAGAGAGAGAGAGAGAGAGGACAAGCCAATAATAAACATCGGCAGCTCTGAATCACCATTACCTTTCCAGTTGTTTATGATTCATGGCTAAAGATATTAAATATCAGTTTATATTTATTTATTTTAAATGATCTTTTAACGCCATGTCAGCAGCAATCAATAAAGGGAATAAACAATACAATTAACAAAATAACTATTTAAGATGATTCTTTTTCCAGGTGGTTTTTTTTTTAAATACATCAGTCAAACATATCTTTGAGTAAAAATGTTTGTCTTTTTGTACTACATTAACAATTGTGCAGTACAGTGAAATATGTTTAACAGTTTGACATGGAAGGCATGATGGTGGTTCTTCACCTTTCAATAAATTACCATGTGTACGTGTTAAATGAACGGAACAGCACCTAGAAAAACAACTTTATCATAACTACATTTGAAATTCAACTTTGGTCATGAATATTCATTATTATTCGTCTTTGTGTCAAAATGATCGCAAATTTATTTTAATCTGTTTTGGGCTATAAAATGTTCCACTGCTCATTTGAGAGTGAATGATTAAAGTTAACTATTCATATTATTGATTTATATATAATCAATAAAAGTTAATAAAAATACAGTTAATCCAAATATAACTGTTCATTGTTAGTTCATATTAGAGCAGATCTATTTAATATTAACAGATATAACTTTTAATCCTAATGTATTAGTAAATCAAATAAATAAATAAATAGCTTTGTTAAATATTTGTTATTGTTAGTTCATATCCTAATGTAGTTAACTAAAATAAAACTATTGTAACAATAACAATAATATTTATAAGAGTTTTGTTTTTTTCAATGTTATTAATTTCAGACTTTTTCAGTGCTGGAAATGACACATTTAACATTCCCTGATATTTCATGGTTTAGTTACAGTTAGGTACAGTTTATTCATGCACAATTAAATGGTAATGGTTTTAACAAACTTAAATGTAAATTATCTTACAATCTCACATCTAATGTAAAGTGTAACAGTTAATGGATGAATTTCGGTTTCACTTTACAACAAATGCTAAAACAGCTCATTAAATTAGGCTATTCACTGACACTTCTGCCCTTAAAAACGCCAAATCTAAAATAAAATAATCACTCTAAATCATATTGAAATTAAGAAAAACAGTCATCTCATGATTCCTTTCCCAAAAAGAAAGATAATTTCACTGTTTCTCATTGCGGTGTTCACGCTGAAGACAAACACATAGCTTAAAGACGCTGTTGAGTCTTATATTGACCTCATATTTAGTTCTTATCGACAGGTTTATTTTAAACAACTTCTCACGTCTTCTGAAAGGCGAGACTCAATGTTTTGTTTACAGGCTCGTTACAGACGCGTTCAGCTAACGAACTAGCATCAGTGCATTTAAACCCTAAAACATGCAAAACCACATAGCAACACAATTCTGACTCATTATATACACATACATTATCTGATAAATATATCGTAGGATGTAATAGGAAGGTAATTCTTACCTTATTTAAGCCGTTTACAGTATATAAGTCTACCGCTAACACTGATCCACTGCCTGTCGGTCTTCCGCCAAAGAAACACGGCCCTGTTTATAGTCAACCGCAGACGGTCAGGTCGACCAACATCTTCAACCTCACCGAGCTGGAAAATCAGAATCGAGCCTGATATAGTAAATCAGATGAAAACATCCAGAAAAGCTCAGACAGGTGCAGACTGTCGAGGAATTCCCCCGCGATACTTCCGCGCTTCATCACACTGTGCACTGCTTCCGGGTAGAGGAATTATGGGAAGACAAATGACAGTAAAAAGTCACATGAGACTTCTTCACCAGAGGCGTTTTTGTTATTAATGAGGTTTTAAACCTTTTTTTATGTCTTCAGGTCATTTTTAAAATGTTTTTTTGGTAAAGAATACACAATAACAACAACAACAATAATAATAATTATTATTAGGCTATTATTATTACATTTCTAATAGGCTAATAATAAGGATCTGTATTTGTGCCATTACATTTATGCAAAGTTCTTTTGCAATCAAAATGATCACAAAATTATTATCTCTGTTTTGGGCTATAAAATGATCCAGTCCTTAACACAATCCACTACAGCACTTTCACCTGTTGTGCGGAAACAAATTGTAATAGGATAGATGTGCTGCAATTGAAGTGAAAAGTAGGCCAATATTGACTGTTCTTGTCATAATGAAGATTGTTGAATAGGTGTTCTTTTCTTTTACGAAAACCATTATACAAACGTTTTTAGTTTGACCTCACAAATACAAGAAAACGAAATAAAAAGTTTTTAATACTTTTGACTTGCATATTCACATAATAAAAATGTTATTGAAAACTTGATAAATAAGACAACTCGAATGTACAAATGTAAGTGGTTGTTTTATTCAAATACATGTATGATAACCATCGAAATAGACATCTGCTTCATAGATAATACATGACAATTACACATATCAAACAGAAAAATATAAACAGAACAGACTATATGAAAAATGAAGTTATTGATATTTTGTGTGAGGCTCTTTTTTGTATTATGCTTAGAAAGATACAAAATATCTTCTGGCATGCAAAAATGTTATTACATTAAGATAATTTAAAACGATTATTATTATATAATTAAAAATCTACAGGCTATAATAGCATGTAATCCTCTTCTTTAAATTGTTTTTGAATACATGCTTTATTTTGTAACTTCAAAAGAGCAACAACAAAAAAAATCCATTCAGGGATTCCAAGGATTCATGTTTTGTCGTTTTAATTTAGACTCGGAAAGCAGTTTAACAAGCTTCCTCAAATTCCTCCTTAATTGTGTTTCATCACTCTTTGGAGACCGTCACATATATGCCACTGCAACAGCGAGCCACAGATGTGCAGAATGGAGTGATGAAGATATTAACTACACTTATCCACAGTGACCTCACACAGGGCAGGCAGGTATGACACACCTGAATACAGGGCATCACACACCTATGACAAGAAGAAGAAAATAGAAGCAGTGACAATATTTTTGATATTCACCCAAAAATGAAAATTCTGTCATCATTTACTCACCCTCATGTTGTTCCAAACCTATGAGTTTCGTTCTTCTGTTGAACACAAAAGAAGAAGTTTTTCTTTTTCAATACTAGTCAATGGCTATCTTTAACTGTCTGGCTCCAGACCTTCAAAACTTCTTCTTTTGTGTTCAACAGAAGAACTATACAGGTTTGGAACAACATGAGGGTGAGTAAATGATGACAGAATATTCATTTTTGGGTAAATATCCCTTTAAAAAACTTTACTTTAAATCATATATATATATATATATATATATATATATTTTTTTTTTTTTTTTTTTTTTTTTTTAAAGAGCCTACCAGATGTGCATACAGGCCAGCAGGGCAAGGAGGCAGCCGCAGAGGCAGGAGAGGGGAACCGCACACAGCGCAGTCAGGCAGCGGTACACCCACAGCCGCGTGGACTCGAAGGCGATCCCGCTGTACACCCACACGCGGTCGTAGCTGTGTGTGGGCGCGGGCTCTGCCAAAACGTCGCTAAACTCTACCTGATGGTGTCACAATGAACAGAAAGTTACGTGAATTTTATTCCTGGTTATTCTTATTTAATGTAGGCTACTGTAAAACATCCTGAATGTCCATCCTCAGGATGAGAAGTGACGTTGCGTTCACCTTCAAGTGTTTGTTGACGCCACAGGGATCCCTGATCTCAACATGAGCGAGGGAAGGGGTGGAGGAGAATTGTGGTGGAGGACGCGGAGACGGCTGGATCTTCTTCACATCATAGTCTTCTTCTTCATCATCTTCATCATCATCATCATCAATATTACACTCCACCAAATACTCGTCTCGCATCATATTGACTGCAAAGCAGATCACACCCTTGACCCTTTGTTTGAGTGAAATTTCAACAAACATTTCAGCAAACAGTACAGTGCCGAGTAAATTATTTTCATGATTTATCACATTTTTTACTTTTGTCAAATCAACTTAGATAATTTATGTGGTTCAGATGACATGATATTTTGAGTTTCTGTTGATTAAACCAATCTCAATTCTATTAACTAAATTTTTTAATTTCAATGAACTTACATTTTTAAGTCACACAGGTTGCTTAAAGTTAAACCAGCAATAATTTTTTTACAGTGTATATGAATAGATCAGGTTTTTAGCATGGGTTAAACATGTTAAATTAAACATTTTAGTTCATAAACTACACAAACTACAGTGGTTCTGAGAGTGTTTGACTGCAGGGCCCCGGTTGTCAAAGACATTATTTGAAGACCCATAAGATATCTAAGATGATGACAAAGCTGCTCAAACTTTTTATTCACATAAACTACTAGTAGTAGCATCATATTAAAATAACTATAAATAATTAAAATAATTAAATCTAACAATCCCGATAACTGCTCCTTTTTTATTACCATTGAATTTGCATAACTTTTCTAGTTTATACACAGGTTTTTTTTTTATAGCCTACATTATTTTTTCACAAATAACCATTTCTACGCAATATGATAGAGCTTGTGTATAGGCCTACATGCATGTATAAAAAATTATTTTATTAACTCCAAGACTTTTCCAGGTCTAGAAATCACACTTTTAAAATCCCCTTACACTCTATGTCCAGGTTAACCAAAATAATGAGAACCAACTGCGTTCCCAGCATGTTGTAATTTCGAGATGACAACACGTGACGTTCGACTCGGAGCTGTTCAAGTCCTCAGAACTAGGAAGTATGCGTTTCTATGGCAACACTATTAAGCCCTAAATTAATCTGCAGCGGTTAGTTGGTACAAGTAGCTCACAGAAAATTCCCAGCTTACAAGTACAAGCTCTGGAAGTTGAAGTCTTGTAATTACGTGTAATTACTACATTTTAAATCATTTTGAGCCATCTTGCACTCCTCTTGGAAGTGTGCTGAGGCCCCGTTTGACAACCACTAAATTAGGCAACATGTGACAAATACAAACCCAAGCCAGACAAGACACACCCTGACAACTCTTGCTTAATACATATACTCATTACGCATCATACTGTCATACATGCTTGTCTGACTGAGAAGCGATGACATGAACCCACCAGTACTGTATGGCATATGAGCATAGATGACAAAATGGGACATTTCATTAATCAATTTGAAAAGAATGTGTAGAAAAAAAGATTTGACATAGGCCTACATGCATTGCATTTTAAATGGAATATAAATGGGATGCAAAATATATATTTTTTAGCAATTTTTAATATTTATCACTTACCCTTTTCAATATTCAGTCCTGGTCCAAAAATAAACTCTAGTTGTCAGTAGTTTATGACTATTTTGATCGGTCAGACAGACACTGCAAATCTTCATAAACTGTCTCGTCATCCACATCAGATGAATATATGGCCTATATCATTCTGTTGGACATCAGAAGGAATGGAGCGGAGCGTTTTACAGTAAGGCAGCGTGACCTCACTCTCTCTGCCTTGTGTTCTTTGCCATAGTCTAGTTTGTGGAAGTGTGTGTACCCAGTGAAGAATTAGTAGGCTGAGCGTAGAGTTATTTTGGGGAGAGGAATGGAGAGGGCACCACTAATCAGGTTACCGGACAGGCTAACCCTCTTCGCTCACAGACAGTTTCCTCTCATACTAGCTAATTTTAAGCCTAGATCTTTTCTTTTTTTCTTTTAGGAAACATACAGTGGCCCTAAAAATATATTTGGACAGTTAAGAGACACTTAAAAATGGGTTACACTTTATTTTAAGGTGTCATTGTTACAGTGTAATTATATATTGAAGTACTGAGTAATATTAAGCAACTACATGTACTTACTATAGGGTTAGGGTAGGATTAGGGTTTGGTTGAGGGTTAGTTGCATGTAATTATGCATCATTTACTGTTAATACTATGGTAAGTACATGTAACATATGTAACAAGGACACTGAAAATAAAGTGTTACCTAAAATGTATGTCATTGTATTACACAGTGTAAAACTAAAAGCAAAACTAGTAACACTTTTCTATAAGTTTCCATATGTCAACATCAATTAACTTCATTAGTTAACATAAACAATGAAAATACTTCTAAAGCATCTATTAATCTTGGTTAATGTTAATTCCAACATTTAGGCCTACTACATTATTAAAATCAAAAGTTGTATCTATTAATATTATTTAATTAATTTTGGCTAACATGAAATATTTAAATAAAGATAGAAAAATACTGTAACAAATGTATTGCTCAACTAATAAAAATAGTTTTCATTGAAATAAAGCTGAAATAAAATCAAATATGAAAATAAGAAATTTAAAACAGATCAAATACAGGTTTAAGTTAAAGTACTAAAATATCTTAATATGAAATAAAAATAGAATAAAGCTAAATAGAAATACCAACTCAAAAAAACACAACACATACTATTTAAACTTAAAATAAAATGAAAACTGAATATATATATAAAAAAAAATCTAGTTTAATGTATTAATAAATTATAAAAGTTATATAACATTTTAAGAGTAATTATTCTGAATGAAATATTTGACAAGTCGGCAGTATTTTAGAATCTATAATTTATTTTGATAATATTGTAATCCACATATCAATGATGACATCATCTACCAGAGACACACACTGCTAAGGGGAAGGTATGGGTGACGGGGTGGAAGTCGAGGGAGACCAGTAACCAGAGGCATTAATATGTGCAGCGAAAAGGAAGTGAGTGCCATTGTACTTCCTGTGACTACATGTGCCTTTTCACAGTTTGTTCTTTTCTCCAGTCACTTCTCTGTTGGACAGTTCCTGAGCTGCTTTGTGGCACTTATCTTCACAGTTGTCTTTTTCACATGGAGCCGGCGGGATAAAAAAAGGCTACAGAGCTGTGCTTATTTTGGCCGTCCCACCTGTTCCCACGAAAGACCATCCCAGCACATTGCATGCATATGTGCTGGTTCCTTTACGACAGAATGCTTTTCAAACAATAATCCATTGTAATGCAAATAAATGTAAAAATAGTAATGCAATTAAATGTAAAAAAAACTAAAACTAAAAAAAAAAAAACATTAAATAGCAAATGATACAAAAAAAACCCCAGAAATTAATCATCTAAAAATAAAACACTGGAGCATTTTAATATTCATCATGTTGTACCTAGAACTACTTGAGCTACGCATAATATCAAAAAGCAACAAAAAAACACTTAAAACTGAATAAGAAAAACTCCAATAATGAAGTAGATCTCTTGGTTCGCAAACATCTGAGTGGCCTTCATAAATCTCTTGCTACATTCAGAGTGACACGTCTATATTTAAAATTACAGTGTGGACTCTGTCTGTCATGGACATCATTCCCACAATTCACTTGCCGATCAGAATCTATGTGCCTTGAGGGACTCCATGGTGCTCCATGAATACATCATCAGCAGATAGTTATGTTTTTCCAAAAGAACACAGCCAACACTACAGTCAAAAACGTCAGACACATTGGACATCACTGCGGTGAATGATTAGAGTAGGAAATTCTTGACCGAGGACCAGATTAACTGTTATCAAAGCTAGTAAAACACAAATACAACCAATATTAGGATCAATGACTTGGTCTCACACGAATAGTTAATAAGGCGTAAAGAGTACCATATACTGTATGTCTGGAAAAATATATTCATATCTGTGATGAGTTTGCTCTTCCCCCAACACTCATACTCAGATTCACTCATATATCATCCCTTCCTCTCCCTCAGTCCTGCTGGTCTTGGGGTTTGAAGAGACCTCTGCTGCGCAGGCCGAAGCCTCCCTTCTTCACTGGAGGTCGAGCAGCAGCGGAGGCAACCGACGGGACAGATGCAGGGGGAGAGGAGGGGGGAGCGCTCGAACCCGAGACTTCCAGAGGAGGTTGACGAGACAGCAGCTCCCTAAACACAGAGTTCATCTGGCGACTGACCTCCTATGAGGAAGAGAGAATCGGTCATTAAAACATTAGGATTGTTATATGGGTTTCCATGTTCATAGAATCTAAAAGCCTGAGAACGACTGATTTAAATCTAAGGCCCCCATTGTCCAAGTAATTTACAAAGGTAGGATATTTCTGGTACTTCTGCTGTAATGACAAAGCTGCTTGTTTTTAAACCCGTTTTATTTACAGTGGAAATATATTAAAATAGTTAACAACTAAATCCACGATTCTAGTTTCAAAAACCTTTTGTATTAGTTCATGGGGGATTTTTACAATTTCTCAGCAATTTCTACCTGATAAAATATATGTTAGCTTATCATAAATAAAAATCTTTTTGTGAAATGTCAGTCAGTATGAGAATCAGACCTTGTCGATATGTACCGTCTGTCTGTCTGCTGCTCCTCCTACTGGCCTCAGACTGTCCAAAGTGTGTCTGCGCTCTTGATGACTGAAAAGAAAAAAAAAGGCATATTGAAGGGAACATTTTCAATGACTTATTATAACAACATACACTACCATTCAAAAGTTTGGGATCGGTCTCTTATGCTCAAACCAAGGCTACAATTATTTGATCAAAAAGTACAGGAAAACAGTAATATTGTGGAATAGTTTTACAATTTAAAGTAACCGTTTTCTATTTTAATATTTTATTATATATTACTGTGACGCAAAGCTGAATCATTTCTCCAGTCTTCAGTATCACACGATTCTTCAGAAATCATTCTAATTTGCAGCTTAATGCCCGGTACACATTGTACGGTGTTGGGCTGTTCCAGACGAAAGATGACCAATCGTGGCGATTTCTGTGGTCATGGCTCCTAAACGGTGGTCCTACGTCGTACAGTGAGAGAGGTTCAAAGACGGCCGTTGCCACGGTCTTGTGACCAAAGATAGCCTAGGATCATTCTCTGACATTTTCTGTTTGCGGACTAGCCAATAAAAATGGATTTTAAAATGGACTGGATTCTTTGATGAATAGAAAGTTCAAAAGAACAGCATTTATTTGAAATAGAAATCTTTTTGTAACATTATAAATGGTTCAACGGTCACTTTTGATCAACTGAATGCATCCTTCCAAAATAAAATAATATATATGTAAAATTGTTTTTTATCCTTTTGAACCTCATTTCTGTAAGCTCATTGGTGTTTAATGGCGGTCACATACTCAGATCACGCCTCATGCATGTGCCTTTCAGCAGCTGGTACCATCAAAACAACAGCTTCTGTTCTCCTACCCTGAGAATTGGCGTGCGGCTGCAGCTGACTGAGGAGGAAGGATGAGTCGTCCCTCGGGCACCTGCAGGGTGAGCTTCCGTATGGGGCTCACATTCCCACTGCTGCCTCCACCTACACTGCTTCCTCCACTGCTGGTCCTCTGCCGGCAGGGCAAAGAAGCGCTGTCACTGTTCACTCTCATCCTGGGGAACGACAGCAAACACAGTGCAGAGACAGTAAGATCTCAGTGGGGCTGTGTAGAGCACCCATGGTGCATTATTACCAGCGGTCTGAGAGAATGTACCTGGTGCTCTGTTCAGACTGCTGCTGTTCTTCTGATAGGTTTCCTGTGCTTCCCCCTCTGCTGTCATCCTTCTTCCCTCGTTCCTTACGCTCCGCCCTGAGGATGAGAAGACAACAAGATGAGGTTACCAAAGCTAATCTTAAGGCTACCAAGATATTGTATTAGAACAAAAGCAATATGTTTCTTTATGTCTCTGCATTGGCTTCCATAGACTTTAATCAGTTTAGACACCATATTTTATTTAATGCAAAAACAAGGCTGTGAGGGATGCATTTACAGCCCGTTTGATGAGTCTCATTCATAAAACAATACAAGCGGAACAAATTTGTGTAAATCATTCATAAATCCATTCTTACGTAAATGGCTGCAGTGCATTGAATGAGACAATTATGCAAGATTGGATGTAAAGGTTTGTTCTTCTTGCATTTCATGAATGAGGCCTGTTATGTCTGCGTACCTGGATGTCGATCATTCTGCCAATACAACATTAGATGTGACCTTGAGCCTTATTTTCAGCATGACATATTGAATGAACTGTCCCTCACAGTCTGTTAATGACAAATGAAATATGACATCTACTCTGACTAAAGTCTATTAGTGACATATCTGACAGATTTCCTACGCTTCATATCAGTCATGTTTTAAACATGGTAATATAAAAGCAGATTAATTAGTGCTCAGATATTTACAAATCAACTAATTAATCAAATAATTAATAATCAATTTGGTTAGCAAATTATGCTCATTAGCCGTTTCAAAAGCATTCCACACTGAAAATATTGACAAAAATTGTTCAGTGTAATAGCACACACAAACACTGGGTAAAATAATCTATGTATTTTTTGCATATTTATGTTTACACTACCGTTCAAAAGTTTGTAGTTGGTAAGGTTTTTGACCAAAAATAAAGTAGAATTGTAAAATATTATTACAATAAATACCTGTTTTCTATGTAATACATAAAATGTAATTTATTCCTTTGATGTCAACGCTGAATTTTCCATTGCTGAATTATCATCAGTGTTGAAAACAGTTGTGTTGCTTCATATTTTTGTGGAAACAGTGATACATTTTTTCAGGATTTTTTATCATTAGAAAGTTCAAAAAGACAGCATTTATTTGAAATAGAAACATTATAAATGTCCCTACTGCCACTTTTGAACAATTTAATCCAGTCAAGAGACACAAGTGTGGAGCACAGAGTTGCTGTCTATAAAGCATATTATGCTATAAATCAATCCCTTACTGGGTCAGGATGCTGTCTTTGTAACTAGTAAGCAACAAGGCTTTGAAACTTCGACTAAGTTTTGAAACGGCGCTTGTGACAATTTAAACTTTTCTTTCTATAAGTCTTATTGTTCATATGTAGCTGTAATAGTAACACCAATGCAATGTTTGAAGGAACCTCGTATAGTTTATGGTAAATATGGTCTCACCCCT